ACAGTGCCCACAACCAGGCATGGAAGCCTCTCTCCAAGGTAGACAGGGCCAGACTCCATCTTGATTTAAAAAAAGCAACAAAAACCTGACAGAACAGGAACAGGCCTGTGACCCACTCTTCCTCTTACTCAGAATGAGTTTGGGACTACATTTGCATTTTTATAGTGACAATCATGTTTGCAGCTATTCCACTGTTGTCAGCCACAGTATTCCACTGTTGTCAGACTTAACTCAGTGAACAATGTTTATAATAAAGCAAATGTTAACATGGCAAGGAGCTTGCTCCAGGACTCCAGTGCTTATGCTTTAGCTCTTCTTCTGCTTACATGTTACCAAGTTATGTCCCCTCTCCAAATCTGTTTCTTCCTTTGTAAAAAAGAGGCCAATACCAGCCACCCTACCTCAGATAGCTGTTATTAGAACAGAAAACTCTGGAAAGTAGAGTAGCATTGCCTGTGATGAAGCAGCATAAATGGTGAATGCATGATCATTTTGGTAATTAGAGTTCACAGTCACTACCTTTTTCTATTTCAAATTGCTACATTTTCTCATGTTCCATTTTCAGGTAATCTGATTATCCCTTCTTTGAAACCAGCCAAGCAGTGTATAACTACTTTTTTCTTAGAATTTAAACTATAAAGACCACCACAATTTTATACAGAAGGCAAAAATAGAATAATCTTTTGAGTCTTAAAGACAGTAGTAACCGCATGTTGTTACACATGGTATTCACTGTGTGCTGGACACAGTTTTGAGTGCTTTTACATGTGTCCTTATTTATTCCTCACAACCACTCTGTATGTAGGTACCTCTTATTATCTTCATTTTCACATAAGGAACCTGAAACACAGGTAGTTAATTTAGGTCCATAAATCTAAATTCTTTGTTTGTTTGTTTTGGTACCAGGGATTGAAGCCAGGGGTGCTTAACTACTAAGCCACATACTCAGTCCTTTTTGAGATAAGGTCTAAGCTCCTCAGGGACTTGCTAAGTTGCTGAGGCTGGCCTCCATATTGTGATCCTCCTGCTTCAGCCTCCAGAGTTGAGATTATAGCCATGCACCACTGCACCTGGCCAGAAATCTAAATTCTTAAAATTATATTTTATTGCCTTAAAAGTCATATGTACGCAGGCAATCCACATCCCCTGTTTTAAACAAGTGATTTCTGGCTGAAAAGTAATACATTTCCTCTTTCTCTGCTTCCAGGCTGCCATAAATGAAGCATCTTCCTTCTCTCTTCTCCTGGACCATGAGCCAAAAGATACTTTTCTTCCTCTAAGTTGTTATTGTCAGATATTTTGGTCACAGTGACAAAGAAACTAACACAGAAATTAGTATATTAGTGGAGTCCTGCTGTGTCTAGTTCAGAAGTCTGTAGAGTTGGTTTGCTAGAAGAATTTGGAAAAGTTGGGAGATGCAGGCTGGATCCGTTTTTAAATGGTTTAAAATGGAGCTTAATGGGCAATTCTGATGGGAGCTCAAAAGATCAGAATACAATAACTGTGTTCTGTACTCATGAAGTTACAGTGGTAATGGAAACTACTGGGATTTGAACTAGAGGCCACTAGTGTTATATTATGGCAAAGAACTTGTCTACGTTTTGTCCATGACCTGAGACTCTAAGGCTGAACCTAAATGTGATGGGCTAAATCAATCTGGTAGAGAAAAATTCAAGGCAGCATAGCAGTCACTGCGTGCCATGGATACTACTGGCATCTTTTAGCCAGGTTTACTGTGAAAATCAGGAACAAAAAGCAGAGCTGAAGGATTTTAAAGACTTCCATGGAAGGTGTGATTGATAGATTATAGACTGTGAAGAGATGCCAAGTACTTTCCACAGAGACAACAGGAGAGATGGCTTGAGGGAATATCTAGAATTTGCAAGACTGCAACCATCACAGGCTAAAGGATGTAAAACAGAAAATTCCTTTGAGGTCTTGGGGCAAGGGTCATAGATCAGGCTCAGCCACACAGGCACTCAGAAGCCACAGTCATGATTCCAGGAGGTGCAGGTTGATGGCAGACCTTGGTGTCATCCATGTGGGACTAGCTGTTGAGGATGCAGGATGCTGGAGTTACAGGGTCATGCAGGCTCCCACCAAGATTCAAAGAAAAGCCCAGAAGGTCAGGCAAAGTATAGCAGGGTTGGAATGCCTCTGGGCTGCCCATGAGAGGGTAAGGCACGAAGTTGTAAAGGTGAAGCCAAAGCAGGAAGAGAGATCCCAGAAATTAGAGATGCCAGTAATGTGGACTGTCCGCAAAGAAGTCGTTGACCACTGGCTGCAGAGAAAGTTGTGGAGATGCTGGACTAAAAAGAGAGCCCCTGTGTGTTAGGCTAAAGGAGTTGGAGTGGGGGCTGCTCAATCCCTCTCCATAGAACATCTTGCCATCATGTGTCCTCTTGTACACAAGAGTTAAGGGACCTGTTTGCCCAGATGGATTTAGGTCTTGCTTTGGACCCATCCCTTCTTTCTATGCTCCTATTTCTCCCTTTTGAAACAGGAATGTTTACTTTGTCACTGAATACTGGACATATGTAACTTGCTTTTTTTTTTTCTTTACAGGGGAGCAGAGTCAAGAGTGTGCCTTGAGTCTCAGAGGATACTTTGGTTGTGGGATGTTTTGGCAATGTTGAAACTGTAAAGACTATAGGACTCTTGGAAATGAAATAAATGCGTCTTGCATGAAGCTTATGGTGGCCAGGGAAGAACATTATGGTTTGGATATTATGGTGTCCCCCAAGAGCTTCTGGGTTAATGCAGGAATATTCAGAGATAATTATTAGATTATGAGAGCTGTTACCTAATTAGTCAATCCTACTTTGAATAGATGGTGGTTACTGTAGGCAGATGGGGTATGGCTGAAGGAGGGGGTCACTGGGGCATGACCTGGAAGGGCTTATCTTCCCTGTGGCTCCTTCTTTCTCTGCTTCCTGGCTGCCACGAATGGAACAGCTTCCTTCCTCCATGATGTGCTACCTCACCTTGGGCCCAGAGCAATGGACCATGAGCCAAAATAAACTTTCCCTCCTTGTCAAAAAGAAAGCAAGCAGGCAGGGAAGCAAGAATGCAACACATTTTGATTCTAACTTGAAATAACTCTTCTACCAAGTTCTTCTCTGGCTTTATACATGGTACCCCTCAAAAAATGTAAAGGGGGAGGGGAGGGAAAGTAAGGGAAGGTAAATGGAAGTGTTATGTGTTTGGGGAACTAAAGTTAATTCAAATCAAAAGGCAATTTATATAAATTATGAAACTGTTTCAGCGTGAACTGAAACCCAAGAACTAGAATTCTAATAATTCAATTTAAAAGCACTTATTGAATTAAACATTCCAAACAACAAATACCTGCCAATGTACTTACAAAAGTATAAGTAAGGCTAAGACTAAGTGAAAGGTACAGTTGGCATTTCCACTAAAACATAGCTAGTAACATCTGATGGTAATCAACACTGCATTTAATAAGTAATGATGAACAGCAAAACAACACAACAATAAACCATCATTTTGGCTTTCTTTAAAGAGGTATTTGTAGAGACATTTGTTCACATTTTATGTATAATTAAACTGAAATGACTTGCTCTTGCTCTTTCTCTCTCCCCAACTCCCAACTTAAAAAATTAGGGTGATCTTCTATACTTACTTTTTCTCAACATGCACACAACTAAAGCTAATTTATTCCTATTTTCTGTATTTCTTCTTTTTTGGGGGGTGGGGTGGGGCTTGGTATTGAACCTATGGCCTCACACATGCTAAAAAGCACACACTAACACTGAGCTACAACCCCAGTTCATGAAGCTAATTTAAATGAAAAAAGATTTAAAAATTATATATAATAACTGCATTTTGCCTTGTATTAGTTCTGACTCTTAGAAACACCTCAGATATCACTGTAAGGACAGAATACATACTTTAATTCTGAAGACAGACATCAGGGGACTAGAAAATAACAGAAGCTTCAAAAGATACTAGAGCTAAAGATTACCAGAGTAACTTAGAAATAATTTACTAGTAGGTACCAATTTCCTATCATAAATTATTCTATTTGGCTCAGTTAGCCACCTTGGACCTACTCGGTACTGGCATGTTCCAAAATCTATAGCACTCATTTGGAAAAACTTTAGAAGGAAGACCTAGATCTGTTAAATTGATTCATCTCCTATATACCTTAGACATCAAAATGATTACCTAAACCCAGGTCAAAGGAGCAGTGTCATTTTATGGCTTATTTCCCTCTTCTGCATTCTTACACAAGCTAGAACTGTCATTCACTTGAAAATGATATGGTGAAGCAGTGATCTAGGTCTACCACTTATTCAGCTTCATGTAAGATTCACAACATTAATTCTATACCTCAACAAAAAAAATAATTTTTTTGGGGGGGGGGCGCGGTTAGAGGGGAGTGAACTCAGGGGCACTCAACTACTGAGCCACATCCCCAGCCTTATTTTGTATTTTATTTAGAGACAGGGTCTCATTGAGTTGCTTAGCAACTGAGGCTAGCTTTGAACTCGAGATCTTCCTACCTCAGTTTCCTGAGCCGCTGGGATTACAGTCATGTGCCACTGTGAGGCCCTCACCAAATTTTTAAATAAAAGTGGGCATTTTCTTTTTAATTCAGGACTTTATGAATATAGTACTTTAAGATTCAGAAAGATGAAAACCCAAACAACAAAACTAAAAAAAACATGCAAGCAGCACTAAAAACACTCAGCTAGTGCTAACATTTCATGACCAAGTCAGTATTCTTATAGGATTTCTATCTTAAATCTCCAGAGGAACAGGTATAGTCCTTGAGCCACTCCTGATAGTGCTAAGTGTTACTTACCCAGGATTAGCCTTGATAATGGTTATTAGGTTTAACTCCAACAGCTTCAAACACTTTATACTTGTCCTGAAGTATACTTAAAGAATTTTTTCAGCTGATCCTTAAGTAAAGGAGCTAAGTTAGCCAATATCCTAAATCTTGAAAGCTCTCTTTGAATGTAATTTTCATAGTCTTTACTTTTTAACTATTATTGTTTATTACTGTTTTGGCTACATTCTCTACAATTTCAGCAGCATCTTAAAGAGACAATGTGTCTATGTACAATGAAAAAACAAAATGGCTTGCAACTTCAGAAATAAGAGCCACAGTTTAACTGTACAATATTAAGGGGAATCTGTGGTAGGTAGGTATAGCCTCTGTTTTCTGCAACATGGACAACTTACATGTAAGTATCAGCAATATGAATGTGACAATAAAGAAAAGATCCTTGTAAGAATGAAATACAACATCCTGAAAAATATTGGTTTCTACCCATACAAGGCAGTTAGAAAATGTTCACATTTTAACAAATCTGTACAAACCACAAGAAACTTTTTTATGGGACTATCATCCCACCTTGATGATAAGAACCTTCTACAAGTGTAGAATAACCATGAACAATTTATAAATCTAGTATCTATGTGCTCCACAGCCCTAGAACCCAGGAAACTAATTTAGAGAACTCAATATGCCCAACATGGATCATTTTTACATGCCTTGATTGTTAGTGAATGCCTGTTTTTAATCTCTATAATGTACAGTCAACTTGCACCTTCAAGGAGCTCATTCAATTCTTTTAGCAAAGAAGCAACATCATTTTAGCAGCAATTAAAGCGCCTTCAAGAAGACTTAAAAAAAATACAATATCCAATTAGAAAAGCCATATTTTTAAACATTTGTACAAGAATAAGCTGCTGAAACTTAGTAATTGAAATAGGACATCTGTACAACAATTTACAATAGAGCTAGAAGGGAATTTTATCATTATCCTGCATAGAACTGGTCTGCATTTGGTTACATACTATCTCTTGTTTTAATGAACAAGGCCTGGAAATGAAAGAAAAATACCTGTTAATAATTCTAACATGTTGAAAGCACTGGAAATATTACAATTTAGTGAATTCAACTGATTTCAAAAGAAGCAGATCTTTTCATCAAAGGTGTAAAATACCTAGGACTAACAGCTCTCCCTTTAATATAACCAGTGGAAAAAAAACGGACATGTGGTTTCGAGGTACAACTTGGTAAAAGCCAGAATAGGCAAAAGACAAAGTCTAACTCTGTCCAAAGATTCTAACTCTCACATTCTACTATAAAACACAATGGCCACTGTCATTCAGTTCTTACTTTGGTTTCAGCAGATTAACTGCCGAATGCTGAAGAATGTATCCAGGCACTGTAGTTCTTGTGTTAGAAATATGTCTCATATTTTCTCCATGTGTTTTTAAATAATGAAAAACTACCCTTCAATTAGAACTCTCTAGTAACAATCAAATATATTTAAGTATTACAAACGTTATTTACAGTGTTCCCCCAAATAAACAAACAAAAACCCCCATTTTTCTTCTATCTTAACATGGTATTCCTGTTTCTGTGCAACAGGCAGTCATCCTTCACTGCTCAAGGTCAAAGTAAGAAGTGTGCATTTATTCACTGTCCATGATCCACTCTCATACAAATGATGCTATGAAGAACTTTAGTTCACAAACAGTTCCTAACCATGTCCTGTAAAAAAAAACAACACAAAAAACACTCAAATGCTCTCAAACTCAAGTTTGCATCTGGAAGCAATTCAAAGATATCATGCCAATCTTGAAGGAAAGTCAGTAAGTAATTATGCTTGAAGAAGGGGGCGTAGGGGATGCTGTCAGCCCAGCCATGTGTAAGTTTCCTGAAGAATTTGATCTTCTCATGTGTGGGAGAAGGTATGGGTCATTTGCCAGTTGGTGAACATCAAATCGATCCTCTTTTCGGTATGCTAAACAGCGTCGTATGAAGGCCTTAAAAGGAACAAAAAACAAAAAAAAAAACAAAGCCAGCCATTAAAATGATCTTTTCTCCTTCTAAATATCAATTCATGCCTAGCTATTTTCATTTTACCATGACTAGCTTACTCCTATTTACTTAAAATCCATCTCATCCTTTAGAGGTCTTTATCTGTTTTAGTCTTTAATAAATAAAAGTTTTAGAATCTACTTTGAAAATAATTAAGATGAAGAAAAAATTAAAGGTGACTGATACAGTAGAAGGCAGAATTTGAGGGAATGAAAGCCTATCAACAACAAGGTTAAGAAGTTTGTAAAAAGTAAATAAAGACAAGACACCCATACTCAGGTTAGGGAAAATACTTGACAAAAGTGTATTCTGTAGGGACATTAAGAAAGAAAAAAAAAATGCACATGGAACCCCTCCAATAGCCTTTGATGAATTCCAGATACTAAAAAGTGATTATGAAACCTATAAGGTGTAAGGACAGAACCAGAGAAGGCTAAATGAACTCCCTTGTGACACATTCCATTCATTCAGGGTCATTTTTGTCAGTATTAAAAAATAAATAAATGATTTAATTCAATTTCTGTTCTCATTGACACAAGATAGGTAAGACCCTATTTTGAGATAGAGTCTTACTAAGTTGCACAGACTGGCCTTGAACTTAAAATCCTCCTGCATCAGCCTCCTGAGTAGCTGGGATTACAAGTGTGCATCACCACAACCAACAATATTTTTTTAAAGGAATCATATTATCTTTATTACATTTTAAAAGAACATTATATTTACCTCTTAAATTTAAAAAATCATAACTATCACTTAAATAACTTGAAAAGAACAATAAAGACTTAAGGTGCAAAATGGAATGCTTAATAAATACTTAGCTTAATAAATACCCAGCACATCTTCAGTTATGAAGGCTACTATGATTGCAAACATCTAACAGTACTTTTCTATACTACATGTGAATAACAGAAATATAAAAAACTATATACTGCCTGCTTATGATTTTTTTTTTTTTTTGGTATTGGGGATTGAACTCAAGGGCACTCGACCACTGAACCACGTCCCCAGCCGTATTTTGTATTTATTCAGAGAGCTGCTTAGCACCATTGCTGACACTGGCTTTGAACTTGAAATCCTCTTGTCTCAGCCTCCCAAGCTGCTGGGATTATAGGTGTGCACCACCACGCCCGGCTTATGAATTATTCTTATGGGTTTGTATTATGAATTTCATGGGATTTTAAAAGGAGAAGACTCCAACAGGGAATCCCATAAAAAAGAGCTTGGGAACAAGTATGAGAAAGCAGGAGTAAAACAGATATGAAAGGTCAATAGGGAAAAGGGGAGAAGATACTCAACATAAAAAAGTTTTGCTATTAATTAGAAATATCTATTTCCTGTTATTTTATTACAAAGACATATGGTTTAGAACTGGATTACTGGATATACATGGATTATACTGGATTAGCTCTAAAGAGTTAGTGCAGGGCAGCACAGAGGTCAAGGGTGTGGATTTTGGTGTCTGATAGGAACCGCAGCTCTGCTACCTACTTGCTGGTAAGATTCTGAAGAAGGTACTTTTGTGGTAGTAAGGCTGGTTTCTCATTTTACAAATCAGAAATAACTAAAGTATTTCATAAGTTTATTAAAAGATAATATATATAAAAGCGCTTAAATTTTATCTTAGTATTAATATAAGCTGATTAAGACTTAAAAGTAATGATGGCCCCAGACCTTGTGATTTTCCAAGCAAGCTGATTTTCACAAAGAATCAGGAACTATACTTGAGTACTTAAAAGATGAAAACTATAATAACCAACGGCTAAAGCAGCTCCTTTTTCCAGCACAAATCACTAGCCCCTGCTGGACAGATCACCTGCAGTGATGATTCCTGTCAGGGTACTTGGTAGTAAGTACTTACTATGTTGTAACCACAATTGAAAGTTACTGCACAAAACTTATACAGGTGAATTTTATACCTTGGCTTCACTGCTTACAACTGGTTTAACAGGGAACTGGACTTCTGTGGCTTTTAATATTGTATTTTCTTGAAGAATGTCTTGTTGAGATTGATTGTGACCAAATGGCTTTAAAAAAATAAAAATAAGATGTTAGAATATTTATCTCACAAAATATTTAAAACAAAGATCATCAGTGAATCCCCCAAAACAAATAACTTGTTTCTAAGATATTGTCCTCTGTAATTCAGAAGCTGGAATGTAGTCTCCATGGAAATCAGATTATAACTGACACCAGGCTGAGAAAGCCTATCTAATACAGTCCTTAGCACAGATAAAATGTGATAAGGAGAAGAAGAACATAATGCTGTTACAATACAAATAATTAAGATAAAATGACTCCAGATTTGGAGTTAGGAGACCTAGATTTGGTCTTAACATGCTGTGAATTTTCAGAAAAGTCCATTAACCTCTCTTCCCATACTTATGCAGGAATGGGGTGGGATAATATCTACAGCAACTTGTACTTCTGACTTTAATGTAAAAAAAAAAAAAGGTTTGGAACCAGGTGCAATGGTGCATGCCTACAATCCCAGCTACTTAGAAGGCTGAGGTAGGAGGATCCCAAGTCTGAGGTCAGCCTCGGTAACTTAGCAAGACTTTGTCTCCAAATAAAAAATAAAAGGGCTGGGGATGTAGCTCAGAGTGCTTATGGATCCAATCCCCAGTTCCACCCCCGACCCCCCACCCAAAAAGTTTGTGAAGAATTAAAATGTGACTCTGAGGAGTCACAGTGGAAAATTATGCGCAGACCAAACTGTGTCTGAGGTGGGATGAAGATGGATGTTAGAAAAAGTGGAAAGAATGGAGGATAATGAAAAGTGACGCAGGGTTCCTAACAACAAATGTTATTAGCAGTGTTAACAGAGAGTATTGGAGAGACAGAGAGAGAGAAAGCCAAATACACTGCTATATTAAAATAATTTTAATCAATGGAAATTCAGGAATAAAGAGAGAAGGCTAGGTTCCCATGAAAGGATTTAAATTGACTTCAAATTAGTAAAATTTTATATTTAAAAAGGAAAATGCAACTTAACAGTTGAAGCTGGGGTAACTTACCTTTCTACCATAAAGACACTGAAAGAAGATGACGCCAACTGACCATACATCGACCTTATTGGAAATCTTTGGTGGCTCTTTTCCAACTACAAAACACTCTGGAGGTAAATACCTATAAAGTTATTTGGGGGAGAAAAAGGAAAAGAATACTGTTAGTAATCTTTAACTTAAAACCTTTAAAAACACTCTAAATCTTAGAATGCACATTTTATTCATACTATCAATTAAACTTCTGAAGCATTTACATGCTTTTATCATTTGGTTCCAAAGTCAAAAAATATAATTTTGTGATAGTATATTTTATATCAACATATATATCTACAGAAACAAAAATTATCATTAGAGATTACAATATTCTAATTTGAGTATCTAATAAGAGAAGAACTCCTCTCCTATCACTCTTCACCATTGTTCAAACTATAGGCAGTTCCCTTCCTAAAATATCCATCAGATCACATGGTTCTCTTGTTTAAACCACCAGGAAAGCACTTACTGTCAATAAGATAAGACCTCCTATCACTCTCTTTAAAAATAAAAATAAAATTAAAATAAACCTAATTTGGCAACAATATAAACTTCAAAATCTGTACACGTTATCCATACTTTCTAATCCCCAGTTAACTCACTTGCTTCCTTACACTTCTCTCCTTTTCCCTCTGATTTTGAACCTACCTAATGCCCTCCCTAATCATTCCATTTCATTTGAGGAACACAATTTCTTCTTTAAGACCCCACCTCCATGAGCCTTCTCTATGTCTCACCAGGCAGGGCCTTGCTTGTGCCCCATGTTAGGACAGGATGGTGTGGTACCGCTATGACGACTAGACTGTGAACAGTTCAAAAAGCTCTTATTCACAGTGCAGTTTCAAGCACTGGCAGTGTCTGAAATATACCGAGTATTCAAAAATACTATTTTTTAAAAATTTATAAGTGCTATCCATTAATTCATTCTTTTTGATAAAGGAAGGGTTAAAAGAAGTGAAAAGATCCATCAGGAATGCAAGCATCTCACACTTCAGATAAATTAAAAATCGTGAAAAGGAGCAATGCAGTTATATGGGAATCTATTTTTTAAAAATCTAGTTTTATACTCAGTGTACTAAATAAAATCACTGAGGTTTCAGCAGGACATTGAAAGATCTCTTAAAAATGCAAAAAACTGGGCTGGGGATGTGGCTCAAGCGGTAGCGCGCTCGCCTGGCATGCGTGCGTCCTGGGTTTGATCCTCAGCACCACATACAAACAAAGATGTTGTGTCCGCCGATAACTAAAAAATAAATATTAAAATTCTCTCTCTCCCTCTCCCTCTCTCTAACAAAAAAAAAAAAAAAAATGCAAAAAACTTTCTTAAAGTAGAGCCACCAAAGATAACTGATGACTCACTTATGATGGAAATCCTTTCCTCCCCCAACAAATAAAGTAAAAGGCTTAGATTTGTTCTATCAATGAAAGTGTCAATATTTTGTATAGGTGTCTATGTATGTAACTAAGAAAGCAGGGCCCTTGAACACTATGAATATTGTCTCTACAGGCAAAAGGATGTAAGCAAGGAAGCTAGAGATCAAGGATATCTGAGGGAAAAAAGTCCACCAGGATTTTAATGGATGACTGCATCTGACTTCAGGGAGAAAGAAGGAGACAAACTTATTTTTTCAAAGTGATACTGACCAATCTAAGTTTGTGGGGATGACACATAATTTATTAAAGCAATATACATGTATTCTAAAAATATGGATAAACCATCCCAGTTTTTAAAAACACAGCTAAATAATATGGCCATAGACACTAACCATTTGTGGGAAACTTTTTCTATCGGAAATATAGTCATGTTCCTATATGGAACATCATAACTGTATCTCCTTCCTGCACAGACCCTAAAGTAAGCTTCCCTGTCTCATGCCTGAGGGAAATTTCCTTGTGTTGACCTTCATTAGTGAAGCCAGAGCAAGAGGGAAGCAAATAATGAGTATGTTCTTCAGAAGAGGAATGATTTTCTGTTCAGAACATGATTTTCAAGCTGTTTTCCACAAAGGCAAGGTTTCTACCAAAGAGCCTTATTTTTGTTGGTTTAATCATTGGGATTCTAAGTTCTTGTGAAAAAAATGAGTCCTGTTGCTAACAGAAAAAGTCTGAAGACTAATGATTAAATATATTAACTTTTAAGGGATTAGAAGTTTAAAGGGTAATTTTCTTCAAATATGGGAGGGGGGACACTGACACTGTTATTTTTATCCACACCAGATTCCTGAAGAAATGCTACCAGCACAAAAGGCATTATGAGTAATCCCTTTTCATGAAAGTTAAATCTATATAGACCTGTGGCATCTTGTAGAACAGGTTATCATGTGCCCATGTAAGCTATGTGAAGACTGAAACCCTCAGTCACATTTATATCTGCAGTCAAAATCCTGTTCAAGATGAGTATATTTCTCTTCCTATTAAAATTCCACTCCTTTTCCTAAACTAATTTATTCTGCAAACTATGTTTGTTTTGAGATTTTTATAGTCTTATGTTCTTACTTTGGTGAATCTACCAGTAAGTTTGAAAATTCAGCTTTTATAAATACCTAGGTACTCTGGGGAGATGACATTCAGTTAGATTTTTATCTGTGAACTGATTCTATCTATGTTTATGAAGTCTTTAGATTTTTTTTTTTTTTTTTGGTGGTAGTGGGGATTGAACTCAGGGCTTTGTGCATGCTAGATAAGTGCTCTACCACCTAACTACATCAACAACCCCATTCAAAATCTTTTAGGAGAAGTTTTGAGAATCAAGTAAGTCCTAAGACCAAGAATATGCTAAATTCATCACCATATGCAATCAACAAAGCATCCACAAAAACTTCAATCACAAAACTGCTACAGAGAAAGCTGGATGCTTAGTTTTCATATAGTTAAAACATTATATTTATATAAATATCTACATGCATGATAAGTATCACTCTAACATTACAGAAGAAAATCCATGAATTCTCCATGTGTGGAGTTTCTGGCTGGTGGGTACTGAAGTCATCTGTTAATGCCACACACGTCATTCTCCTTCTGGTTGGCTGGTATTTGCAGTTGAGAAAAGAAGGCTAATCACGATATTCTTCCTCTCAGATCAGAGGCTTAATATCAATACCTTCACCATAATAATTTCAAAGACAAATGAAAATAAAACTAAATTCTCATAAAGCACTTGGGGCTAGATAATTGTGATATTTTTAACAATACATTTACCAGTAAGTGCCTGCCCCTTGGGAAGTTAGATCCATTCCATCTACACCATAGCTATCATCATCCATAATCTTGGACAGACCAAAATCGGTGATCTTGATTTCTCCACATGCTGTTCCATCTACCAGGAGGATATTTCCTAAGAACAAAATATATGATTCTTTTTATGACATATATGTGCAAAACATTATCTTTGATACTTTTAACTCTGGGGAAGTAAATATTTATTTAAAATGTGGCAGTATAAGCTGGATGTGGTGGTGCACTCCTGTAATCCTAGCAGCTTAGGAGACTGAGACAGGAGGATCACAAGTTCAAAGCCAGCCTCAGCAATGGTGAGGCCCTAAGCAATTCAGTGAGAACCTCTCTAAAGAAAATACAAAATAGGGCTGGTGATATGGCTCAGTGGTTGAGTGCCCCAGAATTCAATCCCTGGTACCAAATAAACAAACAAACAAAAAACCCAAATGTGGCAGTATATGGGTGGAAGGCACACAAACCCGTAATCCCAGAGGCTCAAGAGGCTGAGGCAGGAGGATTCCAAGTTCAAAGCCAGCCTCAGCAATTTAGTAAGGCTCTAAGCAACTCAGTGATACCTGTCTCAAAATTTAAAAAGGACTAGGGATGTGGCTGAGTGGTTAAGCACCCCTGGGCTCAACCCCCTCCCCCACAAAAACAAACAACAAACAAACAAATAAAATGTGGCAAACAAATAAATGCGGCAAACAAACAAATAAAATATGGCAATATAACACTTGCAATTCTCCTAGTATTCCACTGAAGTTTTAAAAACTAAACCAAAAAGTGTATTTTCAAAGGACTTAACTGAATATGACTTTCTAAAACTCACAGTTTAGAACTTTAAAAAAATTATGAGACACATTTCATTAATTACCTGGCTTAAGATCATAATGTATAATAGGAGGTTTGATCTCATTGAGATATCTTAGTGCATTTACAATCTGCATTACAATAGACCTAGCTTCTTTCTCTGACATTAATTTATGTTGCTTCAGATAGAAATCCAAGTCATTGCCTTCACAGTATTCTAACACTGTACAAAACCTACAACAGGAAAGAGAAAAAAAAAAAAAATCAGGCGTTAACTATTGTTTAGTAATTCAGCATCACAATAGAGAATATTTATATCATCACCACAGGATAGGGAAAGCAAAAGCAAAGGTATCTTTTCTTAAAACTTAAATCCTTGAGTATTCACTTACGTATCTGTGTCCAAGGAAAAATAATCATAGAGTTTAACTATTCTGGGGTGATCCAGTTCTTTGTGTATTCTATACTCTCTGCAGGCATGCCTATGGAAAGAGAGTGTTTTAATTCTCCATGACCATTAAAACTTTTTCAATTTTTAAAAACCATAAAATACTAATATTTACTTGTGGTAGTTTTCTTTTTTCTCATCTCTCCAGCTTTTATTAAGCTGATGGATCTTCACAGCAGCATATCTTTGTTCATATAGGTCAAAAGCCTAGGATTAAAGGCAAAGAACAATGATTTCTAGAGATCAAATAAATAACTAAAGATCTATATTTTAATTTTAGTGAAAAAATTTTCAATAATACTAAGAGTTAGAAGAATATTACAACTTTTAGTGATCATCTCGGCAAATGTTATATATAGTTGAGTGACACATTTACTAAGGAATGAGATATAAGTTTCATGGTGATAAATTAGAGAAACTCTTAATGTGAATTTTCACATTCAAGTTTTTAAATGTCAACACACTGAATCAAGATTAATCAATAAAACTGGTATTTATTTTTAAAATGGACCTCTTCCTCTGTACTGGTAGTAGTAGTAAGCAGCAAGGAAAACAGATGGCTGGGATGCTTTTCTATAGGTCAGATAAAACAAACCTTTCTATCTATCTTTTCTTGGTAATCCCCTATTCTTTTTCATTTTTTTTAAACTAATAAGTTCCTAATAATTTCCCAATTACTAAAAAAAAAAAAAAAAAAACAACAACAAAAAAAAACTAGTCATTACAGAATTGCCCAACATATACAAAAGTAAAAAATAGTATAATGAACCCTTATATATCCACCATCCAACTTCAAAATTTATCATCACTTTGCAAGTCTTGTTTCATCTATTTCCTATTACACATGCTTTTTCATATATGTGTATTTCTTTCTCTCTGTCCTTTTTTTTTTTAGTGGTGCTGAGGAACCCAGAGTCTCATGTATGAGAGGCAAGCACACCACCTGCTGAACTGTATCACCAGCCTCTCAAGCATATTCCTTGAATTTATTTGTTTGTTTGTTTGTTACTTATTGGAGTGCTAGGGATTGAATCCAGGGCCTCCTGCAGGTGAGGCAAATACTCTTATCACTGAGTCACATCCCCAGCCCTCCTTGGATGTTTTTAAAAACAAATCTCAGACTATCTATCATTTCATCCATAATTTCTTCAGTATTTATCTCTTATAGATAACAAGGCTTTTAAAATGTAACCACATATCATTACCACTACTATCCTAACTACATCAATAATAATTCCTTAATCACATCAAATATCCAACCTGTCTTCAACATTCTCTGGTCTCAAAAATTTTTTTGGTACTTGATTTATTCAAATAATCAATCTATTTTTTAAGTTAAAAAAAAAAAAAGAGAGAAAGAGGGGCTGGAGTTGTGGCTCAGTGGAAGAGCACTTGCCCAGCAGCTGTGAGGCACTGGGTTTGATTCTCAGCACCACATAAATAAATCAATAAAATAAAGGCCCATCAACATCTAAAAAAAATATTTAAAAAAAAAAGAAAAACCAAAACCAGAATGATTGTACTTTAAGTCTTCACATGATTCATAAGTATTTTTTAATAGCAATAAATGTCACTGCAAAAAGATTTAATAATTTAAGTCCCACTGTCATTTATATACAAAGGTATCCCTGTGAAAAACACATGGGGGGTTCAGGGTACAGCTCAGTGATAAGAATACACACTTAGCATGGGCAAGGCCCTGGGTTAGATTCCCAGCACTGCAAAAATAAAAGAGAAAAAAAAATATATTTTTTTTTTTAATTAAAAAACCCAAAACACTTAGAAGCTTACATATTTGTTAGAAGGTAGGTCCCCCAGTCCCCCCACCTGCAAATTTAACCTAAAAATAAGTAGTAGAGGAAAAACAGTAAAATTACTGTTTTGTTACAAAATCATTAAAGCACGAAAACAGACATAATACAAAATAATACATAATGAAGAAGTCTGGAATGCTCTCTTTGGAGTCAAATGAACTTATTACCTGAGTGACTATGCTAAGTCACCCTCTCTGAGCCTCAGTCTAATCTATAGAGTTGTTGAGAGAATTAAACGGGGACAGTGCAGGAGCAAGGACAGGTGTTTAGACAAGCACTTCTTAACCACATACTCCTATACCTTTGCTATAGTGAGAATTTTTATCTTTGTTAGTGAGAATAACAATAAAATGTACGTTACCTTATATACTTCGCTAAAGCCACCTCTTCCAAGCAGATGAAGTAATAAATACCTTTCATTTAATGTTGGGTGATCTTTGAACCTTAAGGGTGGAGAAACAAAGCCCACTCAGATACATTAAAAAACACACATAAAAATTCTGTCTATGTTAAAGTTCCATTCTCTTTTTCTACTCCTAGCTATTTCTTCCCTAGTTCCTCTACTGATAATTTCACATTTCATCAATATTTCTTTTCCTTCTCTTCAGGAATATCACCTATCTTAACAATTTTGTACTTACAAAGCTTGACAAATTACAGTACTCTCATAAAGACAACATTTACTGTATTTTTGTTTTCTTCTTCTTTGCACTGGGAATTTAATCCAAGGGTACTTTACTACTGAGCTATATCTTCAGCCCTTTTATAATTTTTGATTTTGAGACCGGGTTTCACTAAGTTACTTAGGGCCTAGCCAAGCTGCTGAGGCTAGCCTCAAACTTGCAATTCTCCTGTCTCAGCCTCCCAGGTCATGGGATTACAGGACTGTATTGACATGAAATGCCTTACCTACTTATTCTTCAGCAATGATTTCTGTGGTAAAATATACTCTTTTTTTTTGGGGGGGGGGCGGGTATTGAACTCAGGGGCACATGACCTCTGAGCCACATCCCCAGCCCTATTTTGTATTTTATTTAGAGACAGGGTCTCACTGAATTGCTCAGTGGCTTGCTTTTGCTTAGGCTGGCTTTGAACTCTCAATCCTTCTGCCTCAGCCTCCCAAGCCTCTGGGATTATAGGCCTGTGCCACCACGCCTGGCTGGAAAATATACTTTTATATTGAGAGTTATGGCTGATTTTATACTACATAATTAAAATAATTTTATTTATAAATAGGCCTTGATTCATGATAAAATTTTACTGTCTTTGCACATCTATAAAATAAAACTTTGAAAACCAATTTAAAAAGTAAAGATTTTTTAGAACTTATAAGCAATATTACTGTTATTACTATGTAACAATTATGGTACCCTCTACATCTTAAGCACTTAACTCAATGAAGTAGGTCCCACTACTAGATCTATTTTATATAGATACTAAGAGGATAAGTAACTTAAACTTAACAGCTAATATATGGCAGGTATTAGCAGAAAAATGTAGTTCCAAAATGTGTATTCTTAAAAAAAAAAAAAAAGGCAACAATAGCTTTATAATTCCAAGTGCAAATACATTTTGTTTTATTATCTTATTCAAAATCAATTGAGTGTAGGTTGGATAATTTGAGCTTTCCTAAGAATCTTGTGAATAAGAGAGACTGCTGTTTAGTTTTAAGGCATATTGTAAATCTGAAACAATTCACTTTATTTTAAACAATCTAAGTCATATCCACAAAGTTTGAACCTAATTTTCAGAATATTTCATCTTATTTTATTTACTTATTTACCTTTTTTTAATACTTGGAATTTCAACTCAGGGATGTTCTTCTATTGAGCTACATACCTATCCCTTTTTCTTCTTTATTCTGAGACAGGGTCTGAGCTGCTGAGGCTGGCTCTGCACCTGCCATCCTTCTGCCTCAATCTCTCAAGCAGCTGGCATTACAGGGGGTTGTCACTCCACATGGCTTAGAATAGTTAATTTTAAATTAGTTTTATCCTATCTGCTTTATTTGAATTTAAACTGATAGAATTTAGGTTATTCTATAACTCTCATTATTTCATTCACCTCACACACTGGGTTACTTTCTTTGCTTTGCATTCCTTTAACGTGTACTATTCATGGCACTCATTTTGATTACTAGGGATCAAGAACAGAGAATTATAATTTATAATTGTTTTCCATTTCTTCCCAAATTCTTGCATAATGCATAATTCTTGCATATATGGCACACTAGAATACTTTTAGTTGAAATAATTTCTCCTTCAATAATATAACATTAACTTTGATATTCAGGCAACAAATATTTATTAAGTGCCTATCATATATCAGACACTGGTCTAGGTTCTGGTGCTACAACAAGAATAAAACCAAGTTCATTTTCTCATGAGGCTTACTGTCTGGCAGGAGACAGATAATAAGTGAAATTTTTCCAGATATTAATAAATACTATAAAAAAACAAAGCAAGGTAAGCGTACTGATATAGGGAATAACATGAGACAGGGACCATTTTCTGAGATAGGGAGGTTGACGGACAGCCTCTCTAATAAACATTTGGAGTGAAATAAAAAGTAAGCCACTCTGGTATTTAGAGGAAAAACATTTCAGTAAAAGAAATGGTAAGTACTAAAACCCTGAGATGGGACTATGCCTGACATGTCTGAGGAGGTCAATGTGCTTGTGACATGTAAATAAGGGAAGGATGACAGAGATGGAATGGTGTAATAGTCAGGGACCAGCATACAAGGCCTTCAAAGCTGTGAGAAAGACTGTGGATCTTTTCTGTGTGATGAAAGGCCTGACAAGGAAACAGTGTGTTTACGCTCTTCATGGAGGAGGGGGAAGGGAACTTTTATCATATACAACTCAAATACAAATAATAACTCACTGTGAATTATCTTCATTGTTTATTCTTTTGAGCTCCCGTATGTGAAGATTTCTGACTCTTTCCAAACGTTCAAGTTCTGCCTGGATTTCTGCCTCTTCCTGAAAATGAAGAGAGGGGACTATAACAAGCTCAATTTATTTGTGATATAAAAAAGGTATTTTTACCCATGCATCAATTTTCTACAGTGATGGGAAGAACAGTGCATTATAAAGTTCCACCGAGTTAAAAGACCAAAGTGCTTTTTTTCAATGCCTGAAAGATAGAAAAAGATAAGGCAAAAAGCCTATGTCAAGAAATCATCCTCCACATAAAAAAAATCTAGACCTAATGAGATGGTGGATTTTGTTCTGTAGTACAAGAAATCTACTTTTATAACGTCTGTACCAAAAGTGAGTACAAGATAGTCTGAAGTTATAAAACAAAATGACCTGAAAAATCTTATTTTTTGTTCATTCAAATTTTAATTTAAGAGGGAAGAACTTAGTATAAAACACATAAAATGAAGAAATTTTATAATAATTAAAAGAGGAAGAAAGGAAGAAGATAGAATCACTGAGTATTCCTAGACCTTACAATATTTGGAATAAATCCTACTGTAATCCTAAAGAGACAGTAAAATAAAAAATGTAGGGAATGCTGTGGTGGATCCTCAGTTATTAGAGCAAACATAGGCAGACTAAAGATTTAAGCACTTTAACCACTATTTAATAATATTTTTATGAATGTATTTTTCATGTCTTTAAGATACATAATTTTCAGAAAAACTTAAACTAGATTCCAAAACAAATAAGCAGATATAGCACCCATGTTACTCACTCTCTCTCACACACACACTTTTGTCAATATAAATTTCAGTACTACTTAAAGGATGTACGTGTACATAGCAAATTTTGGTGGAAATATCTAGAAATGTCCTGTTTTTAAATATTCTGAATAAATATTGTTGAGTAAATAAATAAAGATTACCTTAGTTTAATATGTACCCAATACAATTACAAACTTGGACCACTTGCAACGGAGATTATTTCTGAATATTTCATTAGCTCTTTTGCTTTTAGTTTACTAATTTATTTTTACCTCAAAATATTAATAATTCTGAAATTTATTTTGAAATATAAATATTATCATTTCATTCAAATATAGATAACAGAGGTGTAAAGTCTATTAAAAGTTGAAAGGAATACTTTAAGTAGTATGGAGAAAACAAAAATCTTCAAAGATTTTAAAAAACTAAGTCTAACTATATTGTTTGTATTCTACTTAACTCTTAGGGTTACTTTTATTATTTAAAGTGGAATTCAACCACAACAACTTTTTGCAAAGATATTTAATAGATTAGACTTACATGATAAATGGAAAATTAAATGAAGAGAAACCTTTCTAGAATTTTGATTTTTCTAAACAGGTACACTTAACAGACTGTCTTAATTACAATTTCCTCATTTAATATAGCTTCAGTCATTAATATTTTTTGTCTTCCTCTGCCCACCTTCAGTACTTGGGATTGAATTCAAGGCACTCTACCACTAAGCTACATCCCCAACCCTTTTGATTTTTTAATTTTAAGACAGGGACTCACTCAATTGTTGAGGCTAGCCTCAAACTTTTAATCCTCCTGCCTTAGCCTCCCAAGCTGCTGAAATTACAACAGTGTGCCACTGTACTTGGCTACAAATATTTTTCTTAATGAAGAAAAAAGTAAGGTGACATACTAGGAGATTCATTAATCTAAGAGTCATTATAACAGGAAATTAATTTAAAAACTTTGCAACAATAAACTCAAAATATAACTTAGCTATCTTAATTTAGTCATACAAGACAGAATAAGAAATTGGTCATATAGATGTGCCTATGAATATGGAAGATCTTACATCAGACTATTGAATCTAGAAAGAGGTAACTTTTTCTCTTTGTATTTGTCTTTGTACTAACATTTGGTAGGCTGGCTAAATTTTAAATACTTGAAGCCTATTAAAATACCACCTGAAATAATTTTAACTTTTTTTTTTTGAAACTGTGGCATAGGGAGACTATTTCAACAGCCAATTTACTGAAGTTAAATTTATTGAGTCATACATATATATAATTATGAGATTCAACTAGATTGTTGATGCACCTATTTACATTTGTTTTATAATCACATCTATAACCAATATCACAAAATACTTATTTAAGAAAATAAAATATCTGTCTATATCAGTAAATTAAGGAAAGTTTTCCTCCTCTATAAAACATGACAAATGTGCTCCATAAAATTTTACAAAATAAAAGCAGTCAATCTTTATTCATTTTGAACTGTTACATTTACTGAGGGAAAAAAATGTTCAAAGAACTAGGGGAAATTACTGGATTCTCAGTAATAAGGAAAAAATGTCAAATGACGAAACTCTACCTGAACCTTCCTTACAAATAAATCCATACGCCAGTAAAATTTGTTTGTATTTTCCATCTTGTAACGAAACATTTCACAGTAGTATAGGCCATAATACAAAACAACATGATTCTGGATGAGAGATAATTCCACAACTCTAAGTAATTTCTCTCAAATCCCAATGAAAAAAGTATATACGCTACAATGAACTAAATATCTGTGATCCCTTCAAATTCATATAATGAAGCTCTAAAACCCAATATGATGGTATTTGGAGAGAGGGCCTTTTAGGAGGTCATTAGCATTAGATATGTACCTGAGGGTGGTGCCCTCATAATGGGATTATTGGTTTTGTGAGAAGACTGCCCCACCACCTCCCAAAGAACAAAGAGAAAAGGCTATATGTAAGCCAGAAGAGACCACTCACCAGAAACTAAATCCTGTTGGACCTTTGATCTTAAAACTTTTAAGATTTCAAAACAAGAAAATAAATTTCTGTTGTTTAAGCCATCCAGCCTGCTATTTTATTATGGCAACCTGAACAGACTAATACACATCCTATTAAACAAATGTCAGAGGCAATACTGTCTAGTATTCTCTCCTCATAGAAAGGGGCACTGCCCAGACTGGATCTGGCTGCAGGGCACAAGAGTCTAGAAAGCAGTAGTTTCAACAACTAATTTATCTTTAAGATACATTCAGATCATTTTCAAAGGTTTATCCTACAGGCTATACTCTACTTGCTTGAAACTGACATTAACCTCTGGGACATCCTCAGAATTAAACTTTTTCAGAGGGTTTAGGAGAAACGAGGATGACCTGGATTCACAACTAATCACTATAGAATGGAATCCTCAAACTCACAGCAAAACTAGGCCAGATCAGTACAATAAAAGAGAATCCAACCAGCTGAACTGACTTTAGTAAGAACACTTAAGTTTCAACCCTGGATTAATCCAGAAGCTGAACAGTTAATTAAAATGGAAAATTTAAAAGAAACAAAGAAAGAAATAACATTGAGAATGATTAGGTCTCTGTAGGCAATTACAATGTAAAAGGAACATGAATAATAGACTGTATTAAAGAGAGGTAGTTTTGGTGATCAAGTACAAAATAAATGGACATAGCTCTTATCTGTTTAAAGGCACAATAATAAACAATGTAACACTACATACTAAAGCAGTTTTAACAATACTTTAAAAAAAGCTCTGATATTCTGAATTATATAAAAAAAAAAACCAAGTCACACAAGTATACAGCAACATATCTCAATACTGCCTCATTGTTTAAAATAACCTGCAAAAACACCACCTGCGACATTTAAAATTTTTAATTATATATATGGAAGATTCATCCCAAAACAGTTTTGTCTCTCACAGATCTTCACCACAGAAATGTTTTCAATTTGTAAACAAAGTCTCCTCTGATAACTTAATATCTCCTTGGCTCAACTCTCTTCTAAGCCAAAAGCAAGCAATAGTAATGAAGAAACTGTTAACTTTCAGGTGAATTTGGAGTAAGCATTTCCCATTGTAACAAATTTTTTAAAAAGATAATTATTAAATGAAAGGTAGAGTGTGAAGGCTTTGAAGAGTTATAAAATGTATTTCAACATATAAATCTGATATATTTCATTCCCAAATTAAACAGTTTTGAAAAGTATTTAGTAAAACTTGAATGTATATTACATTTTATCCCCACCAAAAAAAAAAACTTAATTTCCTCTTTTTATATTAAAAAAAGCCAAGATAAGATAGGAAATATTTCATTTGTTTTTGCAGTGCTGAGGACTGAATCTAGGGCCTTCCTCATGCTAAACAAGTGCTCTACTACTGAGCTACACCCCCCCACACCCCGAGCCCAGGAAGTATTTTGATATAGCACTCTCAACTTTCCTATAATCCACAAGGGTTGGTGAAAGAAAATAATTTGTATGGCATATTATAAAAATGCTGGAAGCACAGAAATGCAACAGTATCCAAACAACATTAATTAAAAAAAACTAGTTCAGACTGAGATTTCAAAAAGCTTGATACCGAATTTACTTAAAAATTAACACCTTTAAGTCCTCAAAAACTTGTTTCATCAACTATTAATAATGACATTCTAAAGATTATCACCAGGCAAGTGAAAGGTGAAATTGACAAAATGCACTATTAAAAAGTAATGGAGGGGCTGGTTGTAGCTCAGTGGTAGAGCACTTGCCTAGTATATGTGAGGCACTGGGTTCAATTCTCAGTACCACATATAAATAAATCAAATAAAGGTCCACTGACAACTAAAAAATAAATTTTTAAATAAATATATAAGTAAAATAAAATAAAGGTATTGTGTTCAACTACAATTTAAAAAATTAAAAACCTAATGAAATAAAGGGCAATGTAGAAAAAAGAAATAAAGGAGAAAAGTACCAACTTAATTCATATTTATCCTTATTATATGTCTCTAGATACATGCATTCCCAAATTCTAAATACAGATATGGGAGATCTGAACTGACATAAATATGAGCCAACAACTTCCAAAAACTACCTATACAAAGCGAGTCTGAATTTATCTTAACTTAAAAACTACTGCCCCATAATCACATTTCTGAGTATGATGGGGGGAGGGAGAGAACAAAATTATGAATTCCTATGTGTTTTCTTTTCCAACTATATAAATATTCCCTTCCATTGCCATCTCTAAACACCAAAAAGGTCACCATTGATGGGAGCATAGTGTATCT